AAGTGCCCTAGTAAACGGCAATTTCCCACATAAATATTAGCAACTGACATATTGTCATAGTCCACCAATGCCTAAGGAAAGTTAGACTGTAAATCCAATGGCTTCAGAAGTTCCATTAACCAGTACAGGCCTCTAAAAAGCCTTGATAAGCCCTGCCCTACTTCTCTACCAGGAAGAGGAAGCAGCGGTGGTCCCCCCATAACTACCAGCTGAAGGGCTTTGTATTGCAAAAACCCTGGGGCCACAGTGTATTGCTTTTCCCTGCAGAGCAAAGTTTGGTGGCAGGTGTTGGTCTTGGGAATTTCACCAAGGTGCCAGAAGACCTACTGAACATCAGTTGGCCTCTAACCAGGTGGGCCTATGCTCCCATGGGTTCTTCTATCTTTTGGACTCTCTCTTGTGGGGTTTCCACAATTTTTGTTTTCCCCAAAAAAAAAAAACCCTAAGGTTTTTAAAGATGTGCCTTTTAGTGTTACTTTACCCACCTCATGGACTATATCATTCAGGAGTCTTAAAAGGGATGGTTTTGCATGATCAAAACAGAAAACTACCTGGAGAAAAATCCTACGTCCTCTGGCTCATGGCCCCCAGGCTGCTGTCACATCTATGAAGCTACAGCAGGTCCTGCTGGCACAGTCAGAGGAAGGCTGGGAGGCGGTATTACCCACGCAGACCTTAATGATTTTATTTATTCCACATGGCCTAAAAACATGCTGGAACATAACGTGCCATAATTTTTCTGGTGATTTCTATGAATCACTTTTTAATTATGAATAATGTGTTTAGAGACACTCCTGAGAAATTTTACCCAAGGTTCTCTTGACAACCATCCCATAAAGCATCTAAAGTGTAGCAGCTTCCACGGCCAACCCAGAAAATCAACTCTAAAGCGTGGATTCCTAAAAGATCCATCCGTCATCTTTGCTGAGAACGAATCTCACGATTTACACATGCAAAGGGTCACTGAGAAATTCAGATCAACAAGCATAACTAGAAAAACACATTTACTGTCAAACAACGTTCAAAGGATTTTGTAAAATATACATTTTCTGACTTCGCTTGGAACCTTTTTAAAAAATTTACTTCTAGCTAGGAATTTTCTCTGCGTTGTCTAAATTATTGCTTTTTACCCACAACAGAAGGTTTTTCAGCCTCTACAGGATCTGCTATGTCTTCGGCTGGAAGGACCCTTGCCTCTTGTCTGGATCCAGGACACTTGGATATTAAAACGTTTGTGCAAGATACTGGGCGTGAATTTCCATTTCTGGAGCTTACTTTCAGATAATTCAACTGCTAGATCTCAAACAATCAAGCAGGGTCCAAGCACAGTACTCCTAAAGAACAGATGGGCGGGGCTGGCCCTGGAATTCCGACAGTTTTTGCAGGTGCAGCTTTCCTGGCTTCCACTTTCCTTCATTTGTCAGAGTTGACAGCTTCTCCAGGAATGATGGTGTAGGCACCAGGCTGAACAGAAATATAAATAAGTCAATTAGCTTTCAAGGGCGCACCCTGTATGTTGCTTAAACAGGCAGGTATTTTCTGGTGAATGACTTTAAGTAGAGTTCCATAAACACTAAAATTATTTGTGCATAGGGAAAACCGGCGCTGATCTTTTTCCTCCCTGGCCCCCGATTATCCAGGAAGTAAAGCAAATTCACGTATGAGCTTTGCAGTACTCACTACCTTGTTTAAAGTGCTTTTTAAAAAAATGCGTTTGAGGCTGTCACCGCTGTTAGGGCTCCGACACAAATGGAACGTGGCGCCCGTTGCCTCGCCAGGAACTGTTAGTAGTCTGTCTGTCACCGAACCGCGAGTTCAGCTCTGCGGTTTCCTTTATCCCAATGCCTGCTCATATTTACTAAAAAGTTAGGTTTCCAAATATCCACCTCTCCTACTCCCCTAGCTTTGGGCCTGCCAATTGGTAGGAACTCTCCAAAGTGCAACGCAAGGTTGAAACTAGGTCTCTCACAGCACCATAATAAAGCAGTTTAATTGGCTTCGACCTTGGGATCACACGAGTCCATCCAGCCACGACCACACTCGTACCCTGGCCACCCCTCCCGTACAGACGAAAGCGACGCGAAAATTCCCCTGAATGTGAAAATCTGCGCGTCCAGCGAGGAAGGCGCCCGCCTGGTTCAAAAGCTTCGGGAAGAGAAGCACAGAGAATTCCGCAGTGAGGTGAAATATCTGTCTACATCGCAGGGCGAAAGGGGCGTTGTTGGTGCAAAAACCAAGATGATTTTGTTTCCACCCTCTACAAAATGAAGACAGTGGTGGAGTTGAGGCCAAAATTATTCATAAGCCGCACAGTTTGAATTGACCCTGTTGTTTATCAGCTAACCGATGCTTTTGCCAGGGAAAATAGTCTCGAATGGAGAAAAGGTGTTAATTTTAAAAGTCTTTCGCTGTATACGAAAAACTGCTCTGCCCCGTGCCTCCTCCGCCGGAGTATTGGCTCTGGCGCCTGGAAGGACTTCTGTCTCTGAGCAGTTAAAAGGGGGCGCGAGACGACAGAGGGAGCTGGCCCTTCTTTCCCAATCGGGGAGCACGCCTGGGCCCCCCCATCACCACCACTTCGGAGAGCTAAACTGCCCGCGGGAAAATGCCACTCTCGGATCTGGTCTGTCTACGTGCGCGCGAGCTGGAGTCGGCTCAAGCGGCTTCGGAGAAGCCCTAGTGAAAGCACCGGCCTCTAACGCCCACCACACATCCCTCCACCCACATGCACCGGGTCCCGCTCTCTCCCGCCCGTCCCATGCTGCCCCCAGTACTTTAAAGACACAAACCGGCCACTTTGGTCCCTACCTCCCAACTGGAAAAAATTGGGGGCGGGAGAGCGGAGCCGAGGACGAGCGACGGGAGTTGCGGGAGGACGGGAGACGGACACAAGGTCCGCAACAGTCCCACGCACGCATGTGAACCGCACGCACACCTCCGGACCTGCAAGGCAGCATGGGCCCCAGCACCCCGCATGCCCCGCGCGCAGGGCGCAGTGAGGCTCCCCAGTGTACACGGCGCCTCCGCCGTGAGCGCTGAGCGCGCGTGCTCTGCAGCCTCCCTTTCCCTGTGCGCTGCGCCCCTCACCCCTGTATGTACCGACTACCCCTCCCGTGCGCTCTGATCCGCCGGTGTTCACCGAGCCCTCCACCCTCTCTGCTTACTGAGATCCTCGTGCGGCCTTGCGCATTGCGCCCCCTTCCGCTTCTAGCCCAAGACCTGCTTCTAACCGACCCCACCGGCGGTCCCGAGACTGCGCGCTTTCGAAAGGCGGGAACCACACCGCAAAGTACGCCCGAAACAATCCCCTTCGGAGCCCGCAACCAACGCTGGGAGTAGGAGTCATGAATTCCTTCTGTGGAATTAAGACCTCTGGCGACGCGGAAGCCTGGCGCTGGGCCCCTTTGGGCTGTCGTGTCCCCGCGTGTGGCCCTCTGCTCCCGAAGCCGAGTTTCCGCCCAGGGCGGGGAGGGCTGGCGAGGATGCCCCGCCAGCGCCTCGGTGCTTACCCAGATGGAGCGTGGATCCCACAGGCGCCGGGCCCCGCCGCCACTCAGATCTGAAGTCCGGCTTTGGCGAGCGCGGAACCTCTGACACGGGTCGGCCCTCTGCGGTGGGCGTCGCCTCCTTCTCACCCAAAGGCGAGTGAGTTCCCGCAGACAAAAGGGCCGGGAAACCCGTCTTCCATGCCTGCCTTTAAAAGAAAATAAACAAATATATATGTGCATATATATATGAATCCGCGAGAAGCGGGAAGATGCTCACGCCCCGAGTTGGGGCGGTGGCAGTAGCGCGCTCCCAGGCCGGGCTGGAGGGGGCCAATCCAGCCCGCCCGCTTGCCCGCTGGTCTTTCCGAAACTTTCTCTACTAAACTTCCAATGAATTAGCATGCCTCTTTTTACAGATTTGTTTAGATTCCGGAGAAGTTTCCCCAACGTTCGCTTTGCTTTGCAAAATAGACCCCTTATATTAATTAAATAAAACGAGTTTGTGTCTTTAAAGTACTATAATAGCCCCATATTATAGTCAGCCTTATATTAAGGGTTGCCTGTTGTTATTATTATTACCTATTACNTTAGCTGTGAAGGGCGGTGTCACTGGCCCTCATATGTGGGATCCGAACCGGGGCCCTCTGGCATCCCAAGCCAGCTCTTAACCAACACGCCACTCGGCCAGCCCCCCCTTGTCCTCTTCTTAACACCAAACTCAAAATACTAGTTGGGTACTACCCAGGCTGGTTTTTCCTTGTTGTAAAATTTACTGAACATTTATCGTAAAATATTATAAGACAAAAAACAAGTTGGAGGGATATAGCAGCATTATTCACCCTAGCCAAGAGTTGGAAACAACTCAAATGTTCATCAATAGATGAATATATTAAAAAAATGTGGTCTTATCCATACAGTGGAATATTATTGGGTAATTTAAAAGGAATGAAGTACTGATATACACTACAACATGGATGAACTGTGGAAACGTTATGCTAAGTGAAATAAACTAGATACATAAGACCACATACCATATGATTCAATTCATATGAAATTCCAGAATAGGGAAATCCATAGAGATGGAAAGTAGATTAGCGGTTACTTAGGGCCAGTGGTAGAGACGAAGGATAGAGTTAATAGCTAATGGGGTTTCTTTTTGATGGGATGAAAATGTTCTAAAACAGACTGTAATGATCATTGCCCATGTCTGTGAATAGACTAAAAACCATCGCCTAGCATATTTTAAATAGGTAGATTACATGGTATGTGATTATATCTTAACAAAGCTGTTTTTAAAAAAGAAAAACATGGAGGCAGTGAAATGTAAATTGAACAATCATTCACAGTTTTACTACCCAAAGATACTCACTACCAACACTTTGAAGAATATCCTCCTGGTACTTCTCTATATACAGTTTTGTTGTTTTACTTGATTGTGATCACACAATATGTAGAGTTTTATAGTATCGGCATGATTTCCAATGTACATCAGTCAGGCTTCAGTTGCCAATAACAGAAGTTGCTCAAGCTATGTTAAGCAGAAAGAGATTTAATGAAAAGACTTTGGTGCTTACAAAATTGTTGGAAGAATTGCAAAATAGGCTCTAGGCTGGATCTCCAGGGATGAACAACACTGCAAAACTGAGCAGCCAGGGAAGCTGTTAGCATAGCCAGTCAGGAAGGTGGTGGGTCAGGAAGCTGCCACTGGGATTGCTGTAATCCCTTGTGAGACGTGATCCAGGGGCTGGAGAATTACCACCGGAACTGTTGGCTTCAGAGCAATTTCATTGGGACCTCTGCTAACATTGTCCCCCACCACACACACACACACACACACATGCACAGACATTATGCCTACCACCAGAAATCACAAAAGTCACAGAAGTGTGACTTCCACTTAACTCCTCAAATAAATGCATTTAATTGGCTACACTTAAGTCAATTCGTGAACACTAGCTGCAAGGGAGTCTGAAAAATATGATTGCCAGCTTTCCAGGGTTTGTGCTCTAGGAAGGTATTTGTCCATACACCATACCATGTTGTTACAAACTTTTACTCTTTTAAAATAGCTATATAACTTTTCAATATATATCATATATATTATATATATATATATATATATCAACACTTAATTCATTA